ATGTGGAAGGGCCCTCAAACCTATGGAATCTAGGGAGTTGTAGTCTAGTGAAGCACCAATATTCTTTGGCAGAGAAGGCTAAATACCATGTTAAACTACAACTCCCAGGACTCCACAGCATTTTTTTTCCATGACAGGAGTGACTTGAGAAACTGCCCAGATGTTTTGATGTTTTGCCATCCTTATGGGAAACTTCTCTCATGTCCACGTATGGGGAGCTGAAGCCGACAAATTCGAACCTCCAACCTGTTTGTCTTCCATCAGCACAAGCCATGGCAATCAAAGTGATGTCAAATTGTATTAATTCTACAGTGTGGATGCACCTTCAGTCCAATGAAAAACAAATGTATAAACAAAATCCAAGAACATCTGAACCAATAAATATTCACACCCAGGTTTTGTACTTGCAAATTTACACACAGATTTCAAAAAAAGTCTTTGCAAATATCATGTAAAGCAGCCAGTCAGCTTCCCATCTTAACCAACAACCCTCCCACAGTGATATCAAAGAAGTCAAATATAAATCATTACAAAACCATGTCTAGTGAGCCAAGGACATACTCGTGCCTAGAACAACATATTTTGGACAAGTGTCTGCTTCTGTATAAGGCAAGTATGCTCCACGTGAGGAAATGTGCATTTCCTCATTTATTAAATGTGTGCTTGTGTGTTTTCAACCTAGGCCTGAGGCTGTAATCAATCAATACATATTTATTTGACACCTAACATTGCTATACTCAGGGTAATTTATTTAATTTGACATTCCCATCAAGTAAAGAATCTAGAACAATTTAGAGCAAGTTATTATTTATTTTTTTGAAATCTCTTATTTCATTTAGTATGGATAAATCTCATGCCTCCCTTCAAGGTTCTCCTGCCATATTATGCAAACTACAATTTTGATGATACTGGTCCAACATCCACTTCTGACAGAAGGAAAGATGGATGAGATAAAACATCATCCAGTGAAATTTACGACTGAGGAAGAATTGAAAACCTGGAACTAGTACTCTACATAAACTCTCAGCAAGTCTTGCTAGTAGTTTTTAACTTGTTTTAATTGATTTGAGCCTTGCTAGCCCTCTGCCAGCATTGCATAATGTTTTGAGCATTGCACTATGACTCTGGAAAACAGGGTTTCAATCCCTGTTTAGAAATGAAAATCCTCTGAGACTAAGAATATGGGAATTACTTTAATACAGTAGTTCCAAACCTTTTTTTGACCAGGGACCATTTGACCAAGGACCGTTATGACCAGGAACCTAGACCCAAAAGGGTTATGAATCAGTTTTTGGTCAACTTTAGATTCGGTTTGGTTATTTGGGGTGCTGATTCCGAAATCTTCATTGGATAGACCACCTCAGCTCTAGTTTCTGATACAGAATGTATGCCATCCAGTAGTCACCATCTGATCGCCCACAGAAAACCAAGCCTCGAGACCAGTCGTTCTCGTTGCAATGGTGTAGTAACAGTGAAGCCGCAGACCATATTTTAGTTCTTGCGGACCACTAGTGGTCCACAGACTACAGGTTGGGAATCACTGTTTTAATGGGAACCCCATTATAGGTTCACTTTTGGCCCCATCTACACTGTCATATATAGGCCCCATCTACACTGCCATTATAGGTTCACTTTTGGCCCCATCTACACTGTCATATAATCTCCTGTCTGAATCCAGATTATCTACAAAGCAGATAACCTGGATTCAGAAACTTGATTATACGGCAGCATATATCCAACCTTTGGGTCACCATAAGGCAGAAGTGCCCTGAAGACACACAACAATCCTTACAATGCAGAGAAGTGTTCAGATCATAATGTCTGGGTTCCTGTTTCAATCTTAAAATTAAGTAAGTTGTTCTGTGCCTTGAAGCCATTTCTGAATTACAGCAATCCTATCACAGGATTTATTTATTTTTAGCCCAATTGTTTACAAGTGATTTGCCCTTGCCATCCTCTCGGGTCGAGACAGTGTGACCTCTCCAAGTTCATGACAAGGGTTTTTTATGGCAGAGCTGGGATTTAAATCCAAGCCCTAGTCTAACACTTAAATTTTCATAACCAGTTCATTATGAAATGAAAAGTTAGAACTAAAATCTTATTTGTTATAACTATATACAATTCTGGGTTGCTGTGAGTTTTACGGGCTGTGTGGCCATGTTTCAGAAGCATTCTCTCCTGACGTTTCACCCACATCTATGGCAAGCATCCTCAGAGGTTGTGAACCTCTGAGGATGCCTGCCATAGATGTGGGAGAAACATCAGGAGAGAATGCTTCTGAAACATGGCCAAACACACTGATTACGGCCATGAAAGCCTTCGACACCACAATACACGATTCCATTATGAGATACGTTGCACAAATAATATGGTTTTGAAATGTCCAGGATGACTAAACCCACCAAAGTAGAAATATTTCAAAATAGTTCTCCTCTGAGAACTATTTTCTCTTTCTGAGTCCCCTAATACACTGCCATATAATCCAGATTATCAAGGCAGATAATCCACATTATCTGTTTTGATCTGGATTATCTGAGTCTATACTGCCATATAATCCAGTTCAATCAAAGCAGATCATCTGGATTTTGTATGGCAGTGTAGAAGGGGGCTGAGAAAAATGGATTGCTAATAGAGATAAACTTTTCAAGCTACATCATTTCCACACAGCCCTATATCCCAGAATATCAAGGCAAAAATCCCACAATATCTGCTTTGAACTGAGATATCTGAGTCCACACTGCCATATATCTCTGTTCAAAGCAGATGTGGGATTTTATTCAGTTGTTTATACCATATTATCTGCCAGTGTGGACTCATATAAACCAGTTTAAAGCAGAAAACATGGGATCAGATCCTGGGCCTGTCTGGAAGGGCCTTAAATTTTACTGTTTTTCCGTAACAGATGAAAAGAATGCAAATCCATCAACATCTAAGCCCTTTCCATCATAGAAATAACAGCAAAAAAGACCATGCATATTAATAGGCACCTATTAAGCCAAATAAAAGGCATCAGAAATGTAAATTGCCCTGGATACAGAGCGGACATTCAAAGCCCACAAATGCAATAATCTGTGATCTAAAATCCAGATTATCTGCTTTGAACTGGATTATAGGGCAGTGTAGACTCATATAATCCAGTTCAAAGCAGTGGATTATCTGATTTGATAATCCTGATTATATGGTAGTGTAGAAGGGACCTAAGGCCCCTTCCAGACTACCATATCCGATCTCAAGTTTTAAACTAGATTATATGAGTCTGCACTGCCAGATAATCTGGGACAAACAGAAAACCTGGGATCAGATCCTGGGATATAGGGCCTGTCTGGAAGGGCACTCTCTCTGAACTGTTTCTATTGGCCCTTCCACACAGCTCTATATTAGGGCTGGGCGGTTTCGTTTCGTCAATTCGTAATTCGTTAAAAATTCGTGTTTTTTCTTGTTAACGAAGCGATAACGAACCATTCTGGAGCAGCTTAAAAACGAAACGAATTTTTCAATTCGTTTCATAAATGCTTCGTATTTCGTTATGTATTCGTTTCGTTATTGGTTTGAGGGCGTTTCGTTATTATTTCCGCATGTCTGGGGCAAGTTTTATAGTTGTTTTTTGTTTAATTAGTGAAAAAAAATTATAATATCACACCAACAGTCAACAACAGAGGGAGAGGGAAGCTTCAGAAGTTCCCCCTGTCCCATTTGGAGGTTTTTTAGCATATTGCGCAGTCGCGTCCGCCATTAACGAATCGATTCGTTATTGTTTTGTAATTTTTTTACCATTTACGAAATTTCGTAAATATCGAACTTTTTTTTTAAAAAAATTGGAATTCTTTTAAATATCGAAACACAAAAAACCCCAAAAAACGAATCGATTTTAGAAACAAATTTTTCCGTTGTTACCCAGGCCTATATGCCTGAACATCAAGGCATAAAATCCAACAATATCTGCTTTGAACTGGGTTATTTGAGTCCACACTGGGATTTTCTGCCTTGATATTCTGGGATATAGGGCTGTGTGGAAGGGCCCTATAGCTACATTAAACATATGTGTGAGATACTAATTATCCTCTAGCACAGATCCAGAGGGAGAAGGAAAAAAGGAGTGTTTCATAATGCAAACATAACAGCACCAACATATTATTTCATGCTTCAAAATGATCACATAGCTCTCTCTCTCTAACCACAAAGCCAGGGCAGCCTGCCTGCCTTTCAGACTTGATGACGACAAGATGACACATTTAACCATTTTCTTCTCAGAAATGAGCCTCCGCTATGGCCTAGGAGCCACATCAGGCCCTAAACTGTTTCCACTCACCATCACAGACCCCCCCACTGGAGAATGACAACTTAGGGCCTATCCACACAGCCATATAACCTGGAAGATCAAGGCTGAAAATCCCACAATATCTGCTTTGAACTGTGTTATCTGAGTCCACATTGCTACATTATCAAAGCAGATAATGTAGGATTCTATTCGGCTATGTGGAAGCATCCTCAGGGCCCTTCCAGACAGGCCCAAGTTTTGATCCCAGGTTTTAAACTGGATTATACGAGTCTGCACTGCCAGATAATCTGGGATAAACAAAACCTGGGATCAGATCCTGGAAGCATCCTCAGCGCCCTTCCAGACAGGCCTTATAGCCCAGGATCTGATCCCAGGTTTTAAAGTGGATTATATGAGTCTATACTGCTAGATAATCTGGGATAAAACCGAAAACCTGGGCATGCCTGGAAGGGCCTTGAGTCAATACAGTTTGCTAATCAAGAGCCCATTTAATGGCATGGCAAAGAGCAAGTGGGAGAAGAGGAGATGCAAGGGATGCAAACAAACAATGCCATGCAAGCTAGGCAAAATGGATAGAAGAAGGAAATGCACCTTGTCTTACAATATCAATATTTTGAAAGCTGCCCACCTCGGAAGCCCGATGCAGCCCATCATATCCCTCTTTCCCCTGCTTCCTCCTCTGCCAATATCCCTGCCCAATACACCCATATGCCTTGCCTACCTGTCGGTGTTGGGCTGAGAAGCATCAGCCTCTCTTCCAAAGGAGGAGGAGGAGGATTGAAGGGGGAGGGGGGGGAGGAAAGGGATGACAGCAGTCAGCAGCTCTGGCTCGGCCGGGGTTTTCCTAGTCCGGGGCAACAGAAGAGAGGCAACCGAGAGAGAGCGCAGGCAGGCAGGCAGGCAGGCAGCCCAAGGCGAGGCGCTGCCCAGCCGGAGCCCCGCTTGGCTTTTGTGTGCAAACAGCGCTTCTGCGGGGAGAGTTGGGACAAGGCATCCCACATCAGCAACACCAGCAGCAGCAGAGCCCGCCCCCAGGGGGAGGGGCCTCAGGTGATGGACAGGAGGGAGGGGGAAAGGGGAAATCGGGACAGCCCACACACACCGCTGCAACGACACGGTGGCAAGGCATCCGGCCATGGTTCAGCCACCGGGGAAAATTCCTTCCTTCCTTCCTTTTTTCTTTTTTTCTTCCTTCCCTTTCTTCCTTTTCTTCCATCCTTTTCTTCCTTTCTTTTCTTCCTTCCTTCCTTTTTTTCGATTTTTTTTCCTTCCTTCCTTCCTTCCTTCCTTCCTTCCTTCCTTCCTTCCTTCCTTCCTTCCTTCCTTCCTTCCTTTCGGTCTCTTTCTTTTTCTTTCTTCTTCCTTCTCCTCCTCCTTCCTCTTCTTCTTTCTCCTTTTCTTCCTTCTTGTGCTTTCTCTTCCTTCTCCTTTTCTTCTTCTTTTTCCTCTTTCTCTTACTTCTCCTCCTCTTCTCTCTCCTCTTCTTCTTTCCCTTCTTTCTCTTCCTTCTCCTTCTCTTCTATCTCTTTTTCTTTCATCTTCTTTCTCTTCTTTCCACTCTTCCTTCGTTTTTCTTCTTGTTCTTTCTCTTCCTTCTCCTCTTCTCTTATTCTGTTCTTCTTGTTCTTTCTCTTCTCCTCCTCTTCTCTCCTCTCCTTTTCTTTCATCTTGTTCTTTCTCTTCTTGTTTTCTTTCTCCTTTTCTTCTTGTTCTTTCTCTTCCTTCTCCCCTTCTTTCTCTTTTTCTTATTCTTTCTCTTCCTTCTCCTCCTCTTTCTTTCTCCTTTTCTTTCTTCTTCTTTTTTCTCTTCTTTCTCCTCTTCGTTTTCTTCTTTTTTTTCTCTTCCTTCGCCACCTCCTCCTATTCCTCTTCATCATCTTCCTTCTCCTCTTCCTCTTCTTCCTCATCCTCTTCCTTATGTTCATCTTTTTTCCACTTCCTTCTCTTACTCTTCTTTCTCTTCCTATCATCCCCTCTTCTTCATCGTGCTCTTCTTTTTCTTCCTCTCCTTTTTCTTCTTCTCCCTCCTCCTCCTCCTCCTCCTCCTCCTCCTTAGAATGAAATAATTTGAAGAGACCCCCCTGGGACAATCCTGTCCAACCCCATTCTACCACGCAGGATCGTGGCCTCTGTTTGAAAGTCTCCAGGGAGAAGGAGACTCTGTCATGTTATGAGGCAGCATATTCCACGGTTGAACAGCTCTTACTGTTAGGAAGTTCTTCTTAGGCCCCTTCTCCACTGCCATATAGAATCCAGATTGCTTTGAACTGGATTATATGACAGCGTAGATTCAGATAATCCAATTCAAAGCAGATAATCTAGATTATCAAAGCAGAGAATCCACATTATCTGGCAGTGTCTCAGAAAACAAGCTTCAACCCTCCTCAATGTGACAGCCCTTCAAATATTGAAACATGGCTCTCCACACTCAGAAAACAGGGGAAATCCAGACAGGAAGCAATCAGGACCAGCTAACACCTCCCAAAAAAAGGATTCCCCCAGGAAGGGAGCAGCCAGGCTTTGAAGCTGCAAGGCCTTCTTTTCTCCAAACTATACATACTCAGTTCCCTCGGCTGCTCCTCATAGACTTGGCTTCCAGACCTTGGATCATTTTGGTCACCATCCCCTGGATACCTTCTTGCTTGTCAATATCCCTCTTGAGTTGTGGTGTTCAGAACCAGACACAATGTGATTCCAGGTGTTATTCTCACCAGAGCAGAATAAACAAAAGAGAATATGGAATTTTCTCCTCTTCCTCCTCCTCCCATTTGTTTTTAGCTCAATCCTATATGATTCTTGGATTAAAATATACATTCGACAAAAAAACCCCATATAACTTAGGGTTTGTTTACACTGCAGAATGAATGCAATTAACATTGCATTGGCTCAATGCTATGGAACTGTGGACATTGAAGTTTTGCAAGGTCTTGAGCCTTCTCTGCCAAAGTATGGCAGAGCCACAACAAACTACAACTCCTATGATTCCATAGCATTGAGCCATAGAAATTAGGAAACCCCAGTAGCACAGTGGGTTAAACCCTTGCGGCAGTAGGACTGCTGACCGAAAGATCAGAGGTTCGAATCCTGGAAGGGGTGAGTTCCCATCTGTCAGCTCCAGCTTCTCATGCAGGGACATGAGAGAAGCCTCCCACAGGATGGTAAAACATCCGGGCATCTCCTGGGCAAGGTCCTCACAGATGGCCAGTTCTCTCACACCAGAAGCAATGTGAGAAATTGAAGTGGTGTCAAACTGCATTCAATTTACAGTGGAGATACACAATAAAAAGTATTATTCCGCAATGACAGATCCAACTAAAAATTCAAAGTTCACAAAACAGCGATATCTTTGTTGATGGATCAAATGCACAAAGGCATTGGCTTCTTCATCAGGTAAAATATATTTTTTTAAAAAACATACAGCAGAAAGAAAGGGGAGGGGGAGTAATGGTTTTGAGTCCCAGGCCTATATTTTGTATTAAGTGTTGTCTCACTTGTAGTCACAATGTAACTAAATAATATGACTAATTATTAATTAACATAACAAATATTATACTACGTAACACAGTTTTTGTTCCTATGTTATAAATATCATTTTCTAATTGGTTCTATCATAAAAGTATGGAAAAAGTTTAGTAAACTGCAAAAAACATTCTTTGCGTTACATCCCGCATATCGTTTTTCAATGAATATCTCATGAGTCTCAACCAATTCAACATAGTTTGTGGCAGCCACAAAAATGAAGTTTCTGGAGTATAACAACTACTTACAAAGTAAGTACCACACAATTAAACAGGAAATAACACTTTCAAACCAGGAACAGATTTTTTTCTAATTTTGTTACATAGTGTTATTATACTGTTAAATATCTTATCACTCAAAAAGTCTATAAAGAGGTTTCAAAAATATTCAATTGGTTTATCATTTAAAAGCTTATGTTAAAAAAACACTTTTTCCATACTTTAGGAGAACAGAAAGGAGGAAACCATGAAAATGAACAAAACCTGGCTAACAGCATTTTTAAAACCCCTAAAATTGGGACAGTAAATAAAGAGCGACACTCAAACAAGAGGGGAATTCCAGATAAGAATCAATCAGGGCCAGCTAACACCCCCAACAAAGGATTCCCCTGGCAGCAACCAGACAGGCTTTGAAGCTGCAAAGCCATTCAATGCTAATCAAGGTGGGCACATTAACACTTGCCTCAAGCAGACAAGAGTGCTTTCTCCCACCCTGGACATTCCACAGATACATAAGCCTCACTTGCCACTTGACCTCACAACCTCTGAGGATGCCTGTCATAGATGTGGGTGAAACGTCATGAGAGAATGCTTCTGGGACATGGCCATACAACCCAGAAAACTCACAACAACCCCATCTGAGTTTCTTTCATAAATGTTTTTGCAGGATATGCCGATGACACAGCTAATAAAATCAGTATCTACTTTTACGTGTTTTGCATACCTGTTATGAAAGGTTAGCAGTTGTTGTTTTTATTTTAGTCTGTTATTCATATACATGTAAATGAGGAGGAAAAGGAGTGGTGAAAAGCCTGAACCATTGCTGTGTGTGCAATCAGAATTGTTTCTCTTAGTACAAATGTACAAGCTAAACTGCTGAATATGATCTTGTGGATAATTTGACATTTGCTGCTTGACATGTGTCAGATATTCCCAAGATAACTCTGGCACATGCAAATCTATTCACATGTCAGCTGCAATACTAAAAAGGTTGGATAAAAATATTCTCAAGGGGGTCCATTAGGTCTTTGATCGCATGGGAAAAAGATAAAAATTAGTTCATAAACAGAAGAATGATTTCCACACAGCCATATAACGAAGGACCCTTCCACACCGTCCTATAACCCCCAAATATCAAGGTAGAAAATCCCACAATATCTGCTTTGAACTGGCAGCCCTTCCAGACAGGCTCTATATCCCAGGATCTGATCCCAGGTTTTCTTCTTTAAATTGGATTATATGAGTCCACACTGCCAGATAATCTGGGATAAACAGAAAACCTGGGGTTATATCCTGGGATATAGGGTCTGTCTGGAAGGGCCCTGGGTTGTGAGTGCACACTGCCATATATTCAACTTCAAAGCAGAAAATGTGGGATTTTATTCAGCTATGTAGAAAGGGCCCCAGGATAGCAAGGCAGATAATCCACAATGCCTGCTTTGAACTGGATTATCTGAACCCACACGGCCATATAATCCAGTTCAATGTGGATTTTATACAGCTGTGTAAAATCAATTTAAAACCAGTTCCGCTCTCTTCTTCATGCAAGGTAAGCTGCCAGGGGCAAAGATTTCAATAAGGGGCCTGAACTATTTGGACCAGGCTGGGCCAAGGCTAGTTTAAGGAGAAGGGGAAAATGAGGTTGGCTGAGTGCTACTGTGCAAGGATCGGTCTTAGCATAGCAGCCAGCAATGAAAGGACCAAGGCAGTGACATCTCTGGCCCATCCCCTATTCATATATCAGCCAGCATGCCAATGTCTTAAATAAAGAAATAGCTTCCTAAGATCTACAGAGATCCTTGCGGGAACACCTCAACAAGCGAGAGTCCAAAAGTGGCAGGCTAAAACCCGGAACCTCAAGCCATGGTGGATACTGAATGAGAAACTCCCTCCCGAGCAAACAGAAGACTGGGCGAATTGGAAGGCACTGAACAGACTGTGCTGTGGCATCACAAAATGCAGAGCCAACCTTAAGAAATAGATCCACAAAATGTGAGTGTGGAGAAGAGCAAACTACAGACCACCTGTTACAATGCAACCTGAGCCCTGCCACCTGTACAATGGAGGAGCTTCTTATAGCAACTCCAGAGGCACTCCAAGTTTAATATAATTGCCAAGTTTTCTTTGGTTCGCTCCTGATACAATAAATATATATCTACATTATAGAACAGGGGTCCACAAAATTTTTCAACAGAGGGCCAGGCCAGTCCCTCAAACTGTTGAAGAGCCAGGTTATAATTTGAAAAAAGCATGAATTAATTCCTATGCACACTGTACATATTTCATTTGTAATGCAAAAAACACTTTAAAACAATACAATAATTAAAATGAAGAACAATTTAAACAAATATAAACTTATTAGTATTTCAATGGGAAGTGCGGGGCTGCTTTTGGCTGATGAGATAGGATTGTTGTTGTTGTGTGCTTTCAAGTTGTTTCAGAGTTAGGTTGACCCTGAGCGAGGGCCGGGTAAATTACCTTGGAGGGCCGTATCTGGCCCTCCAGCTTTAGTTTGAGGATCCCTGCTATAGAATGAATGCAGCTAGGGAATTATGGGAGCTGTAGTTTGCTGAAACCCTCAGCAAACCTGATAAAAGTAGTGGTTTTATCAGGTTTGCTGATAAAGTTGTGGCTTTATCAGGTGTTAACCTGATAAAGCCACAACTCTCATGATTCCACAAGCATTGAGCCATGGTAATTAAAGTGGTGTTAAACTGGATTACTTCTACAGTGTAGGCCCATCCTTACTGCATTCCAAAAAATAATAAAACTTTTCTTAGGGAAAAAATATCTTAAGATTTACAGAAGTCTAATTTTAGAAAGAAAAAAGAAACAAACAAACTCCTGGCTTGATATGAGCCTTTGACGTCGGCCGTCGGGATCCCCCCTGAGAGGGGCCCCTCCCTTCCCGGCTCAGGAGCCCTCTGCTTGGCTGTTTCCTTGAGAGTCAGCGCAAAGAGGAGGAGAACTGAGGTGATCCCTCCAGCCAATCAGCGGGCTGCCTGGCCTCAGCCGAACACAGAGAGCCGGAAAGGGGCGGGGCCAGCGCCTGTTAGGGAAATGCTCGCTCCCGCGTTTGGAATGCACTTTGCATGAGTGTCGCGGGCACGTGGCAGGTAAACAGCGCGGCCCCCGGGGCTAACTGGCGCGAGAGGGAAATCGAACGGAGGGCGTGGCTTAATGGCTGGAAGCGTCATCATAGCAAAGGTGGCTTTTTATAGACTGAAGGTGCGTTTGGAACTGCTCAATGGCTCATTGCTGTGGAATCATGGGAGATGTAGTTTGGGAAGGTCTCTAGCCTTCTCTGGTGCTTCTCCAAACTACAACTCCCTGGATTTCATAGTATTGAGCCATTGGCAGTGCAAGTGGTGTCAAACTACATTCATTCTACAGTGCAGATCAGGATGGGCAAACTTGGGCCCTCCAGGTGTTTTGGACTTCAATTCCCACAATTTGTTAGGAATTGTGGGAGTTGAAGTCCAAAACACCTGGAGGGCCCAAGTTTGCCCATACCTAAAGTAGATGGACCCAAGTGCACACTAATGGACTTTTCATAAGAAAAGTGGGGAGAGATGTTAAAATTTCTATCTTCTTGTGGACATCTGGTGGTTATATTTAAAYATTTTTCCCTCCAGTTTTGTTTCACAGCAGGGCTCTTTCTCAAGCACAACCATTAAGAGACACCGGTAGGAGAAATACTTACTGAATCATACATTTATAGACACATACATGACAATGTATGAATATACTGCTGTATAAGAAGTAGACAATCTTCTTATATAAATAAAAATGTAATGTTCGTTTGTGGGATTAACAGAACTCAAAAACCACTGGACAAATTGACACCAAATTTGGACAGCATACACCTAACAACCCAATGTATGTCCTTCACTCAATTTTTTTTGTTTTTGTCACTTGGGAGTTGTAGTTGTTGGGATTTATAGTTCACCTACAATCAAAGAGCATTCCAAACTCCACCAATTATGGAACTGAACCAAACATGGCACACAGGACTCCCATGACCAACAGAAAACACTAGAAGGGTTTGGTGGGCATTAGCGTGAGCTTCTGCTGTTAGCCCCAGCTTCTGTCAACTTAGCAGTTCGAAAACATGAAATGTGAGTAGATCAATAGGTATCGCTCCAGGGGGAAGGTAACAGTGCTCCATGCAGTCATGCCGGCCACATGACCTTGGAGGTGTTTATGGACATTGCCGGCTCTTCAGCTTAGAAATGGAGATGAGCACCAACCACCAGAGTCGGACATGACTAGACTTAATGTCAGGGGAAAACCTTTACCTTATTTTTCATACTTTATTCTTTATACAATTGCTATTTATTAATCAAATTAAATCACACCCTTGTTTCTTGTCCTCTTCATCTGTGTTGATGTTGAATTGCAATTCCCAGCATTGATCATCATCATCTAAGGGCCCTTCCACACAGCCATATAACCCAGAAGATCAAGGTAGAAAATCCCACAATACATGCTTTGAACTGGGTTATCTGAGTCTACATTGCCATATATTCCAGTTCAAAGCAGATAATGAGGGATTTTATTCAGCTGTGTGGAAGGGACCTAAGGCTGCTAGGAGTTGCACTCCCCAACCTCCAGTTACTCATTCCTCATCCGATAGGACTTGAAAGAATGAATAGAACTGGAAGGTGACTGTGGGATCAGGTGACTGGTTATTCATCACTTCCCTCTGGCAATTGCGGCAATTGCGTTTCTTTGTCTGATGCAAAAGCCAGTAAGGAAACAAGGCGAAAAGACTTGCCTGGAGTGGTCTCAAGGGAGAGGCAAGAATAGTATGCTTTGGTTAAAGCAGCGTCCTTGATGGCCAAATGTTTTGAGAGAAAGAAATAAAGAACTTTTAAACTAAGATCAGAGAGATATTTGTGTGTTCACTTGCACACACTGGAAGGAAGTGTGCTTGTTCAGGGCAAGAAAGTGTAGGTTGAAGGACCCACAAATCAAAGCAAGGGAAACAGAACAGCAACTAAGAGGAAATGCTACCAACCACCAAGGCGTCAGGAAAGCAACTTTTAATGCCATAGTTGGAAAGAGACAGATTGAGAAGCAGGCAGAAATCATATTTGAATTTTGCTATTGGATGTGTGTGCATTTCAAAATATAATTTCCATTACACTGTGCAACGCAGTTTTTGTTCCTCGGTTATAAATGTCATTTCCTATCGGTTCTAACATAAAAACATGGAAATTTTTATTAAACTGCAAAAACTTTGTTTTTAAGGGGCATCCTGCAGCACATTTTGCTCATTGAATATATTTCATCAATTCAACCTAGTTTGTGGCAGCCACAAAAATGAAGTTCCTGGAGTATAACAACTACTTTCAATGTAAGTACTGCACAATTAAACAAGAAGTAACATTTTCGAACCAGTAACAGAAATGTTTTCGAATTTTGTTACATAGTATTATTTAAAAGAAAACTAGTGGTTTACAGGTAGGATTACAGATCTGTGGGAGAACACAGCAGAGATTACCTCAGTTCACCTTTTGACATCTCCGGTCCAAAGGTCAGGAAGGAGAGACTGTAAAAGACCTTGTTTGTCTAAAGTGCCTCCCAAAAAAAACCCCTACCTCTAAGCCATTTTAACCATAAAAAAAGAAAAACCATCCAATCAGAGAAGTCAGCCATAGCAGAGCACCTGATGAACCAACCTGCACACAGCATATTATTTGAGAACACAGCAATGCTGGACCACTCTCACAACCACCATGTCAGACTTCACAGAGAAGCCATTGAAATCCACAAGCATGTGGACAATTTCAACAGAAAGGAGGAAACCATGGAAATGAACAAAATCTGGTTACCAGTATTTTAAAAAACTCTAAAACCAGGACAGTAAATAAAAAGCAGCACTCAAAAAACACGGGAATTCCAGATAAGAATCAATCAGGGCCAGCTAACACCTCCCAACAAAAGATCACCTGTCAGGGAGCAGCCAGGCTTTGAAGCTGCAAAGCCATTCAATGCTAATCAGGGTGGCCAATTGCAACACTCACACTTGCCTCAAGCAGACAAGAGTTCTTTCTCCCACCCTGGACATTCCACAGATATATAAGCCTCACTTGCCACTTGACCTCCCAACCGCTGAGGATGCCTGCCATAGATGTGGGTGAAACGTCAGGAGGGAATGCTTCTGGAACATGGCCATACAGCCTGGAAAACTCACAGCAACCCAAAAAAAAATTCACATCGCTAAAGCAAATTAAACAATAAAACCCATCCAATCTGTACTTGGATCGAAAAAAACAGCAACCCCCCCCCCCAAAAAAAATAGGTCTGAGGAAAGAACCCAGCCTGAAACATTGGTACAACTAGTTCTGTATTTCATTGCTTCTAAAACACATTTTTTCTCATATAAATATCTTGGAAAATGGTGAGGGTTTTACAGTCGTGGGTGCTTTTGTATATGTAAACCAGGGTTCTTCAAACTAAGGGCTGGATACGGCCCTCCAAGGTCATTTACCCGGCCCATGCTCAGGGTCATCCTAAGTCTGAAAATAACTTGAAAGCACACCACAACAACAACAACAATAATCCTATCTCATTAGCCATAAGCAGGCCCACACTTCCCATTGAAATACTAATAAGTTTATATTTGTTAAAATTGTTCTTCATTTTAATTATTGTATTGTTTTAAAGTGTCTTTTGCACTACAAATAAAATATGTGCAGTGTGCATAGGAATTCAACCATGTCTTTTTTTTTTTTTCCAAATTTTAATCCAGCCCTCCAACAGTTTGGGGGACTGTGACCTGGCCCTCTTGTTTAAAAAGTTTCAGGACCTCTGATGTAAACAAACCTTTTTTGTCTTAGAACCGATGATATTTTAGAATCGATGAAATGTAGTAGTTATGAACAGCACTGAGACGTCCCTGAGATCTAGCTTCCTTCCTGGCTACCTATTTATATATTTATATGAGAAAAATAAATGAAAAATGATAGAAAATATGGCTGGTCCTCTGTTTTGCTGTGAACACACTCAACAACATCTGATTTTTGGAAGCTAAGCAGGTCAACATTGATTAAATCACAGAGATGGAAAAGGCCCTAAGGCAGAGCTTTCCAAACTGTGTGTTGTGACATATTACCATGCCACATGAACTTCAGAAGAGAATCTTGGAAATGTATCTTATAATTTCACAAATCATATTTTTAAAAATATAAATGAAAGGTTTTCATAAGAAATGTTGTGTCTCCATAGCTTTTGTTATTACTATTTCTGTATTTGCCCATATCTCTTATAAGAGGTTAGTTTAACCACTGGTTTGCAAGTAAATCTGAATTACTGTGTTGCAAACTTATCTCCGTCTAATAAGTGTGTCATCAACATGAAATGTTTGGAAAGCTCTGCCCTAATGGCAATTCAGTCTAACTCTTTTCTATTCAGGAAAAACACAATCTGTACTTGGATGGAAAAAAACAGCAATCCGCCCCCCCGCCAATAGATCTGAGGAAAGAACCCAACCTGGAACATTGGAGGCTATCTCCCAATCAGAGTTTATAATGCTGGTTTAGATGTCTGACAACTTCAGCCAACTTCCCATATTATTATAAGCCTTATAAGTGGAGGGAACACACCCCAAGCAACCTGTAAAATTCCACAAGAACTGCAGAGTAAAAGCCTCATCCAAAGCCACCCTGAGGGTAAAGAGCTTGGCCTGGAATCCTTTTTAGCATCGTGGTCAAACATTAATTGGCAGAGAAAGGGCTAGTTTGTATTGGGTGGATTTGTTAGATGCTTTTTGGTCTGATTTGGCAGTTCAAGAGTAGGAAATGGATTGAGGGGATGAACAATCTCTCTTAGCAACCCAATTGTACAGTTCTCATAGCTATGAACGGGAAATGGGTCGCACACAACTCATTTTAATTTGTTTGGGTATGCACCCTTTGAAATCCATTTTGCCCAAGAGTTCCCCATCACCAGCCGTGGATTGCTGGCTAGGCAGAGTTGGGGTAGAATTAGTTGTTTAGGAGCCAAGTTCTATTATTGTCTTGGAGTTTTGTTTTGTTTGGTTTTGTTTGTTTGTGTTTGTGTCAGGAGCAACTTGAGAAATTGCTAGTCACTTCTGGTGTGAGAGAATTGGCTGTCTGCAAGAGGATGCCCGGATGTTTTACTATCCTGCAGGACACTTCTCTCATGTCCCTGCATGGGAAACTGGGGCTGACAGATGAGAGCTCACCCGCTCCCTGGATTTGAACTGCCAACCTTTCGACTAGCAGTCCTGCCAGCACAAGGGTTTAACCCATTGCGCCACCGGGGGCTCCTATTGTCTTGGGGTGCATTTATAATGCAGTTTGACACCACTTTTACCTGCCATGGCTCAATACATTGGAAGCATGGGAGATATAGTTTGATGAGGCACTAGCACTTTTTGGCAGAGAAGACTAAAGACCTTGTAAAACTATAGCTCCCATAATTCCATAGCATTGAGCTATGGCAGTTAAACTGGTTTAAAATTGCATTAATTCTACAGTGTAGATGTACCCTAGGAGGGAATGCTGTAGACCAGCAGCTATATCATCTACCCCCAATAAAGCTCATCTTGCAGAACTAACATTGTCAGTTTACAGTGGCAATGAAGAGACACTTGGAATTTTAGCATCCATTTCCAAAGGGAACACTTGAGACTCAAGGACACTACTGTTCAGGAAGCATACAATAGTGTTAGTTTAAACCATCTGATGAGATCTTTCCATGTTACTAAATCATTTTCTTCTAGGTTCTGGGAGGCTTTTGTTTGTAATATGTCTCAGCAAATGCCACTAAAACACCTTGTGACATATCTCAACAGGAAGAGGCTTAAATAAACAGGTGGAAACCAGATGTGCCAGAACCTGACATGGTTTTGTACATGCATCTTCTATTGGCAAAACAACAGAGGCGTGGGTGAATTTAGTGTAGTCTTGGTTGCAGTCTTGCAGCTTTCAATTCAATGGGGGTTTTGCTATTGATTTCAATCAAAGTCAGGTATTCCAACTGAAGGTTGGCCATCTTTCGTTGCTCCCACCCAACTCCACGTGCAGGTTCCTCTTTACAAAGGACAGATATAAATGCAGAGGCTGGAAAAAGCAAGCTTTGTTTTTGGACTGCCACATAGTATGGAGTTACCTTCATATGGTGCTCCATGAAGTCATGCTGGCCACATGACCTTGGAGGTGTCTATGGACAACACCAACTCTTTGGCTTAGATATGGAGATGAGCACCACCCCCCGGAGTCGGACACGACTAGGCTTAATGTCAGGGGAAAGCTTTACCTTTTATAGTATGGAGTAGTCCCAGGTGTGTAACTTTGCTGAGTTCTGTGACATATCTTTATGTTCAGTGACCAAGTTTCATGTATTCTGGTTTTCCAAAATTGTACTTTCAACTGGAGCAGAATGCTTCACATAGAGAATAAAATATTCGGACTATTAAATTTGTTATTTCTGCACTGAACTAGTTGTTTACAACACTTGCACTTTATAAATAAAGATTCCAGAAATTCCACTTCTTATACAATTCAGTGTTTCTTAATGATTATTCCCTTACTGTCCCCCATTTCTCGAACCCAATCATTTTTGTGCAAAGGTACTCATTAACAGAGGAAAGGCAAAGGTTTGTACTCAGCCTCTAGCCATCAGACATTTTTGGCATTTGGTCTAACTTTGTCCGCCAAAACCTATTTCAGGGCTCTTTCACATTACACAATTATAGTAGCGTGATTCCACTTCCACTGCCATGATTCCATATTAAGAAATCCGGGGCTTTGCAGTTTAGGAAAGGTCATGTACACTTCCCCTGATGGCACAGTGGGACTGAAGACTGACAGGTCGCAGGTTCGAATCCAGGGAGAATGTGGATGAGCTCCCTCTATCAGCTCTAGCTCCTCATGCGAGGACGTGAGAGAAGCCTCCCACAAGGATATATCAAAACATCCGGGCAACCCCTGGGCAATGTCCTTGTAGACGGCCAATTCTCTCACACCAGAAGTGACTTGTAGTTTCTCAAGTCACTTCTGACACGACAAGAAAAAATATTCAGAGAGCTCCCCTAATGCCTTGCCAATCCCGAGTTTTCCATAGAATATAACCTGTACAAGTAGAATTTTATTGTGTAGTGTGAGCTGATTCCCAGACAAATGAATTTTCTTTACAGTCAGCTCTGTTGGATCATATAAGAAATAAGGTAGTATGTGTGTGTCAACTGTAAAATAAGATGCATGAAGCTGATTGGTTGGGCTATTCCCGGAGAGATGGCTGGCCCTGGGACTTTTTATTACTGTTACATTTTTTCAGGCTTGAGCTATGGAAGTTCTTGGAGAGAACAAAAGAGAAAAACAAAGAGAGACAGAATTTGGAGTGTACTCTTGCTTCATGAGCTGCCAAGGAAAATTTTCCATAAAAGGACATTATGTGAGTTGATGCAACTGATCACATTGTACATATGTTGTTCTGATTTAAAAAGAGTAAACTGCTTATTTTTCATTGTTCATCTGTGTGGCATATTTTCTTCCTCTGGCAAGGCAGTGTGTGGGCTGATCAAACATGAACTACACGTGGTTTATTTTACATTACGCTACAAGCTGGCCACATTCTCTGGGTTGGTGCACACAAATACCATAGAAGTGAAAAACTGAATAAATGAATTGCCATGGATAGTAAAGCATAAAAAAACACCCAGGCATCCTCTGGGTAATGTCCTTGCAGACAGCTAATTATCTCACACCAGAAACAACTTGCAGTTTCTCAAGTCGCTCCCGATATGATTTTTCCCCCGTAAAGTTTTAAGTCTATTGTGCCATGAATTTCCTCCCTTCTTTTTTTTAAAAAAGCAAAAACAAACTGCATAAACGAACCAGCTTAGAAGCAGAGATTACCAGTGTACAAAGATGCCACCTAAGTTATCTAAAGGCACCGTCACACTTTCTGTATTCTACTCATGGTGCTAGGTTAGCCAAGAAGTGTTCTTGAACTAGTCCATCTGGTTGACTGAGTATAAACTACAGTACAGGAAATGGGTAGGAGGCACAGACACCCACTGCCAGCATAATCGAGGGACAAAGCTGGGCAGTGTGAGACACAAATCAGTGTCATGATGACCTTGTTCTCATTTCTTGTTAGATTTCTCTCAAGACATTCACAAACATCTATTAGTAGTCTGATCTGAAATAATTTGTAAAGAATACTAAATAGTATACTATGTCATCATATGTACAATGCATATTAAAGCAAAATAGGTTTTTGTTCCAAATTAATGTTACAGCTAAATATTAACCCAGCTTTAGCAAAGCTGAATGCAAATACACCGGACAGCGTTAGCCATGCTAACAGCCATAATTGCACAGAGATAATAAAAAATGCCTGTTTCCCCCTTTTCCTCCTGTTTTGTCATCTACTGTTTCAAGGTAGACAGCTAGGGAAACAAATTTGGAGACAGGCACAGTTGCAGGTTGAAAAGTTACAATAATTTGTGATTTACACAAGCCACGAAATGGGTTCATATTATGGTCTATGGCTAGTTAACAAACCACAATTAGCAGAGATGGGTTTTCATAACACAACAAAATGACACCATGACATTGAGCAACATGCAAATATACTGTTAATTCTTGGCCGTTTTTCATTTTCACATTACTTTCAAATGCCTGAATGTCCAATTGCTTTTTTCTTCTTCTCCAGAAGTTGGTCAATTTGCCTGTTTCAAACTGGAAGTACGTATACATGTTTTAAATTTATGGTATTTTAAGTAATATTCTCACCTGATTCCTTAGGTATTCCATGCTGTATCTACCTCATCAAATTCTCCTGTAAACTAATAGCTATTGGAGACTGATAAGTTGGTTGCGCTAGCCTCCGCTCGAATTCTTGAGCTTCATGAACGCCAACCCTCCATTTCACACGCTCCATTTGAATTAGTCTAGTATGGCCTTCCCCATTCTGTGGTGGCCGTCATTTCTTTTCCAAAATCTTGTTTCCAGGATCTCTTTCTCCTGGCCCTCACTCTCTCCACAAACCTACCCTCTACAACTCCTAACTGCCTATGGCCTGTGAACAACCTATTGTTAACAAGTGTCATTATGTCATCATCTCCAGTAGACTGACATTTGCAGAAGGACTTAAAAGGGGAAAGTAAGTAATGAGTAGAAATGAAATACCAGTAAACATATGAATACATTTAACATCTTAAGGACAGTTAAGTAAGTATTAACTGTATGTCAGAAGCTACTGTGTTATGCTCCTCAAAAAGTGAATAGTTGTAGGAGCAGCACTGTACAGCCCACTTTCCTTTGAATGAATCAGCACTGAAGGTCTAGGAGGACTTTTTAATATTGTTTTATTGTTTTACTGCGCAAGCTCTAAGATCTTCTGGGGAGGCCCTCCTCTCGCTCCCACCTCCGTCTCAAGCGTGGTTGGTGGGGACAAGGGAGAGGGCCTTCTTGGTGGCGGCCCCCAGCTCTGAAATTCTCTCCCCATAGAGTTTAGACTGGTGCCCACCCATTCCACTTTTTGTAAAGACCTAAAAACTTGGATGCTCCACTGTACCTTTGATTAAACAGTTCACTAGATAACTTTGCCCCCCCCCCCCCCAGCCATAACTCAGTGTCTTGCTTGTGCACTTACCACTGTTCCCTGCCCTATAGATTATCCATCAGCTCTGTCCTTGCAAGTGAATTGCATCTGCACTGCCCACCTGAGCTCAGTATTTGATTACTATGTTGGGCTATTGGTTGTTTGTTTGATAGTTGTTTGATGTTGTTTTATGATGTTGCTTTATACATTTTACTGTGTTATATTTTAAACTATGTTGACCAGGCTTATCCCCCTTGTAAGCTGCTCCGAGTCCCTTCACGGAGATCATGATGGGATACAAAAATAAAGTTGTTATTATTATTTCCTTTTTATGAAGTACAGCTGAAACATCTTCTACAGAGTCCACTGTAAACACTGCAAAGCAGATTTCCATAAAAGTCTAAAATGTCACAAGGTAACATTCAGAAAAAAATCATTAGCATTGAGCTAAGGGGATCCCATTTGGTTTCGGGACTCACAGTTTAAGAAGCACTGCTCTAGAGAACAGACGGAAGAATCAACCTGCCACTGTAAGAAGAATAGTGTATATTGTTTATGTGAATGTTGTCATTCAACTGTTCAGTGCTTCTCTTCCCTGGTTTGAACTTCACCCTGTTTAGGAGACATGGTGATGAGCATACTAAGAGACACCACATAAAAAGTGTGACAAAGCTGGTGGTGAAATACGCTCTAGGGTACCCAGTGGTTTATGGCTCATAAAAAGATTTCAGTGTCCAAGGTCTCAAATAAATTCTTTACTGGGTGCTGGCTAGGTGACTTTAAGTGTGCACATCCTTAACAATTGCCTTCCAATTGTCATTTAATGAATTGCTTGATATCCTACCTTTTTCCTGAAAAGGAGACCTTTCAAGGAGTCTCACAAATAGATTCGCTTTTTAATTAAAACAACATAAAACCAATAAAGTCAATAAAGAAGGCACAGAACCCAGCTGTTAGAAGTCCCTTTGGCAATAGCCATCACACAAAAAGTATTTTGTCTGCTGGTGCATAAAGAATTTGTCTAGTTTGGAAAGGAATTCCAGAACAATTGCTATGAAAGACCTATGTCATATTCCCACCAGATGTGTCTTTGGGATGCTGGGACAGAGAAAAGTGCCTTCTCTGAAGAGCAGAAAGCCTGGGCAAGATTGTATGGAAGAATACAGTCCTTCAGGAAACTGATTTCTTTATTACCGAACCCCAGTCACACCTTCCAAAAAAATGGAAGTAACAATGCCCATGGCTGCTGAGATCATACCCAACATTTTAGTAGGTTGCTTAAAATAGAAATAGCATTGGATTGATTAATATTAGGAAATTATTGGTAGTAGCTCCCAAGAAATATCTTAGATCATGAGTCTCCAAACTAAGGTCTGGGGGCCAGATGCGGCCTTCCAATGTTATTTACCCAGCCTTCATCCTGGGCTTTAGACTTAGGGTTGTCCTCAGTCTGAAATGACTTGAAAGCACACAATAACAATTCTAATTAATGTGTTGTTGAAGTCTTTCATGACCAAAATCACTGGGTTGCTGTGAGTTTTCCAGGCTGTATGGCCTTATTCCAGAAGCATTCCCTCCTGACATTTCACCCACATCTATGGCAGGCATCCTCAGAGGATGTGTGCCATAGATGTGGGTGAAACATCAGGAGAGAATGCTTCTGGAACATGGCCATACAGCCCGGAAAACTCACAACAACCCAGTCCTAATTAACTCAACTATCTAATCAGCCAAAAGCAGGCCCACACTTCTCAATGAAATAATGATAGGTTTATGTTAGCTAAAATTATTCTTCATTTTAAATACTGTATTATTCTTTCATAGTTTTTTGCACTGCAAATCAGATCTGTGCAGTATGAATAGGACTTCGTTTGGTTTTTTCCCCCAAACTATAGTCCAGCTCCCAAAGTCTGGGGATCGTGAACTAGCACTCAGCTTCAAATGTTTGAGGACCCCAGCTTTAGATGAATGTCTCCTTACTTGTACCTACACTTGGCTTTGAATTTTGTTGTTTATATGAAAACCTAAGTAAAGACAACAGAGAGGACAAAGCAGCAATGCAAACTACTGAACACATTTTTTCATGGCAAGTACAAGATAATACTTCCAGATGTCGATAAGCCTGCTTAGGCACATCAAAGCTGTCATTTATCTTTCAAAGCACAGCTTGAGAAAAGAAATATACAGCCTTTTTCTATGCTTGTTACTCTGAGGTTGCCCCACTTGTTTGGAGCCAGCTTCCAAGGACATCAGATGGCATCCAAAACATTGCTGCATTGTCTGACAGGCAAAAAGTAGCAGCCTTTATCAGTGGAACTAGAAAGAAGGCACTGTACACAGTCTGTAGCATTTTCTGTATTACTTCCATAAGTCTCCCACCTTGATTATTTAAATCCTGTTTTGGTGCTCATCTATTTTTGTCATGACCAGTGCAGGGCTGCATTAAACTGTCAGAACTCCTTGGAGGTCTGCACTCCACACTGCACCTGTTCCCATATTCAAAAATGGGAACAGATGTTTTGGCCTTCAATTTCCCCAGATGTTTGGCCTTCAATTCCCAGAAATCCTAACAGCTGGTAAACTGGCTGGGATGTCTGAGAGTTGTAGGCCAAAACACCTGGGGACCCACTGGCTGAAAACCACTGCTGTAAGGTGAAGTTAATGCACAGCTAGGGTGCTACAGCTAACTTGGTTTCAGAAGAGGTGTAATGAGCGTAACATTGCTACTTTTCAGTGCTTTTCACTCTAGGTATTCCGTATTAGTCAACAGCACTGGCCACATAAAAATCCATAAGTGCTCTGAGGCAACATATTAATTCTCTTCTGGGTTTCTTGTCTGCAGTGATAAAGCCACATCCATATTCTCAGCATAGTTTCTCAGCCACAAAGGAAATAAATGCATTTGTACGTGTATGTATCT